AAATATTTCTTCTTACATTTTAGTGAACTTGAGTAATAGCCAATCAAATAAGTAAAGGGAACGTTTAAAAACCTAGCCGACAAGAAGAGGATGCACAAAAGCACGGTTCTCATGGAAACAAATGTCTACCTCAAAAACAGGCGTAAAATACAAAAGGTGTAATTACAGAATCCGGTTCAAATAATCGGCATCTGGAAATTGTCTTTGCATTCTTCAACGAGAAAAAGTACCCTATCAGTCTGTCGATGCCGGCCGTTAGCCGGATGCCGACGACACCGAAAGTCCGGCGGACCAGCTAATTAAACACTTTCCCAAAGGACACCTGCTCTTTTATAAATATTCCCATTTTAAAATCCCCTACTCGACTCGGAATAAAGCCCTAGGCTCAATGAATTGTCCACAAATCGACCACTCACATTGCCCATTCTGCTTTCAACGACGACGATGCATTCGAAATTTATAGGGTAATCATGGCGTTTAGTAACTAATCGACTGGGTGTGACTTTGGGAGACTGCACGAGCTGAAAATGACTTCGAGCCAGGGAAAATTCACATAGGAAAAGCCTCGTCATCGATTCCGGGAAGAGTCTCGGAGATTCAGTTGATCGTTCTGAGAAGTCACTCAAGGAGTTGGACGAGTGTTCAAGGACTTTCGAAGTAATTTTAGGAAATTTCCCTGGAGATGCAAATTTCTCAGTGGGAGATTTGGAGGGCTGTAAGAGAGGTCTTTTTGGTTCATCATCGAACCCTTGACAAGGATGGGAAAGCGTCAAAACCGATGGGGCGAAGGCCAAAACGGGTCTAGCGTGACCTTCTCCACCTTTTCAGTTATTATACGTCAGGTATAATCATCGGATTCCGTTTCATTCATTTCTCCCAGGCCCATTTATTTCACCCAGATCCTCCCCTTCATGCCAAAGTTTGTAAAAATTTCTGCCAAATGAGCAAAAACTTGAAAAAAATGAAAAATGAAGCGTTTTCAAACATAATACTCGGGAACATCAGGAAAAAGGCCAAAACCGATCTTTTCCCCGATGTTCCCCTTTTTCGGTGAAGCGGCAGTCAGTTCCCATGTATAATAGAAAGGGTCTAGTATAGTAAGGTGAGGGAGTAAAGTAAACAATAACCAGTAGGCGGGTAAAGCATGTTTGTGCATCATACTTGAACGCTATACTGGGACTGAATGGGGTTTCCAGCTCCCTGGGGAGTGACTAGCCACGGGCGAAATCATCTTGGAATCATAGCCAAAGCTTGCATAATGCAAAGTACCAGACTGCCATTGTAGAGGTAGAATTACCTTCCAAAGTTACAGAAGTTATGAATGGAAGTAAAACACGTGGCGTATCCTGACAGTATTGGTCATCCCTTCTTTCTTTGCATATTTATCATACCCGT